AGGTGCCAGAAAATCCATTCGCCCCCAGTGATAATACATCATGCTGCAGTTAGTAATTAACAAGTGAAAAAGAGGCAAAGAGGGGCCCTTGGGTGGCTCAGTCAGTTGAGCGTCCAGCTTCGGCTCGGGTCATGGTCTCACGGTTCGTGGGTTCAAGTCCCGCCTTGGGCTCTGTGCTGACAGCTCAGAGCCTGGAGGCTGCTTCAGATTCTGTGTCTCCCTCTCTCTCTGCCCCTCCCCTGCTTGTGCTCTGTCTCTGTCTCTCAAAAATAAATAAACGTTAAAAAGAAGGAGGAGGAGGAGGAGAAGGAGAGATGGAGACCTGGAGAGCACTTTCTGAGTGCTCTGCAAATGCTGGAATATTTAATCCTTACACAGCCTGATGAGGCAGGTGCTACTATTTTCATCACTTCCGTTTAGCTGATGCTGTAAGTGAGCAGGGATATGGAGCGATTGTGTAAGGTGACAGAGGGGGCATGTGGCATCGCCAGCATTCAACCCAGGCCCAGGGGCACCAGAGCCCCTGTGCTTTACCCACCGCACATGCTAGCTCTGAGAACCAGCAAGCCTGGGCCCTCCTGCTTTCTCTGTGGCTGTGGGAGAGTCATTCTCGGCCTTCACGGGCCTCTGCTTTCCCTCTGTAAAACTAAGGGGTTGGGGAACTGGACAAAGCCATTCTTGTAATCTGGGCTCTTATGGACAAGAAAACATCAGGTAACAGTCTTTAAGATGTGTGACCCAAAGGATAGGAGGAGCACCACAAGGGGGTTCATTTCTAGAGAGCCTAACACCCGGTGAACTGGGCGCCCCATCTGGGCGGCCTCAGAGATGTAAAACCTGAGGCAATGTTGCCTCTTTCGATCTAATTCCATTCCCTGGCTTCCATGGAGGACAGAGTTCACAGGGCCTTTGACAGAGGGCAGGCCTGACCCCAGGAACCAAAGCAGAGACATCGAACAATAGGCCAGCTGACTTCTAGTTACCTTTGCCAAGGTTTAGTTACTTTGCCTGAGTGACCTAGCTGGTGATCTGGAGCAAATTTCCTCCTGCTTTGCACCTCAGTCGCCTCCTTGTAAGGTAGAGCTAACAATAACACCTGCCTCCTAGGTGATAATACAAATAAATCTCATACCACATTGCCTGGAATATAGTCAGCGCTTAGTAAATGTGAGCTGTCTGCCACCCGCCCCCATCGTCATCTCAGAGGACAAAAGCAAATGGGATCAGGGCTTTTGTAAGTAAGTTTTGCCAATGCCTGATTTTGTTTGTTTTGGTTCCTCCCTTGCAAGGAAGAGGGCTGAGTGCTTGTCTCTGGAGGCAGAGGAAAGAGCAAAGGCAGCTGGGAAGATTTTGCCCAGCCCATAGAGGTCTTGGGGGAGAAGAGTGCCAAGGAACAGAGAGGAGTGTGGACCCTCTAGAGAGGGGACAGGGTGGGCCGTGGGACCAGCTGCCCTCTTGGCCTTGAGGAGAGGCTCTTTGAATTAGTTACTGTTCCTTGGGAGAGAGGAGTCAGGGCAAAAGGCTCACCATTAGGCACTTGATTTACCACATCTGAGTTTCTTGAGACCTGTGGGTCCTTGGAAGAGAGATGGGATTTGTTATTTCTTGAGGATTTTCAGACTTTCCTCAGCTGGACCTGGTGAGCCTTAGATTATACCTTTTGGACCCTCCATCGGATCCCATGGTGGTGACAGTCAATTTCTGAATTGAAAAGGAAAGACTGAAGCTGGAAGGGAAGGTTGGATTGTACGACGGGGAATGAATGATGAAATGTTATTGGCCTATATTCAGATATTTCTTTTTCAGTGCTTTTAACTTTATGGAAAACTGTGGGCATGATTTAGCTATCTCGAGGGACCAAATGTAAAAATGCCTCATGAACGTCAGAAAAATCGTCCCCCAGAGACTTTCTCTTTGGTTTTAGCAGTTCAAGTGAGGACTCCCCCTTCCCCCCTCCCTTCTCTCCAGCCCCATTGTGGCAAATGAAGTAATCAATTATCCTCCATTCAAGAAGAAAAATAGCACAGAGGCATGGTCCTTGTTCTGTAAAGCCTTAGGGAAAGTGCTTCCAAATCTTGCGAGAGGGTCTCCCAGTGGGGGACGGGTTGGAGGCAGCAACAAATGAGGACATTTTCAAGCTCTTGGGACTGTGGAGATAAATACCTGATAAGCTCACAGTTCCAGGAGCCAAGAATGAGTATCTGAAGTCATTGTTATGCATCTTTTTGAGGCTCCCTACAGGCCTGGGAGGACTCTGTTTTCTCTGCAGTCAGCTTCTACAACTGAACCGTGGCTGTGTGGGTCTGGTGCCGCCCTGTGGTGCACAGGCAATAACCTCTGATGGGAACCCCAAGTCCTGGGTGTGGAGATTGTCCCGGCTACCTAACTAGCTATGTGACCTGGGGCAAGTCACTTAATGGTACCCAGCACATGCCACACAGTAGGTGCTTAATGAGTGTGGGTCAAATTAATAAATAAACCAGTATAAACCCCCTGTCTGAACCTCAGTTTCCTCATCTAGGAAACGGGGGAATAATGCCTCCCCAGTGGGCTGGTATCATGTAGGTAAATTTGCTTCCTAGAAGTGCTTCCTAAACTTTCTTGGGTTTCACATGAGTCACCTTGGGGAGCTACTCAGGCGCAGATTCTGACTCAGGAAGTCTGGGTTGGGTGGGCCTGACTTCTGCATTTCCGGCTAATCCTTAGGGGTTGCCTATAGAGACCACACTTTGAGTAGCTACGTCCGAGACTCTAAAGTCCTGGAAAATTTTTGTACCTTTTTTTTTTTTTTTTAAAGTAGACTTCACACCCAGTGTGGGGCTTGAACTCAGGACCCTGAGGTCAAGCGTTGCCTGCTCTACTGACTGAGCCAGCCAGCCCCGCCCCTGCCTACAGTGCTTGAAATTATTAATCTTATCTTTTCAGCCTGTGGAGTCTGGATAGACTCTAAGGCTAGACTAACCAACTGGTGCTAGTCCTTGAGAGGTTTCCTGGGACATAGGACTGTCAGTGTTAGAAACAAGGAGGTCCCAGGCAGAGTAGAACAAGTTGGTAACCTTATCAGGATAATGGAAAAGGAAGGGTCGCTTGGGTCTGAGGTGCTGTGTGAAAGGGCGAGGGTTGTGGGGTGGGAGGTGGAAGGAGGTGAGGCTGTTTGCTAAGAAGACGAGCATATTCCTACCCAGAGAAGTTGGGCGACTTGGCCCACATCACACAGCTCCTCAGGGACAAGGCTGGGGCTATAGCTCCCACCTTCTGACCGGCTACATAACTTAGTGCTTTCCCTCACCAGCCTTTGTTGCCTTCTCCAACTCATTCCTCCTTACTTGGAGACGTGGCATGTTTATTTATAAATCAGCTTGTTTGGAGCCTGAAATTTGGCATAGCTGATTTTGGCCGTGAGGAGTTCAAATTTTTCCTCTCTCTGTTTTGGTCTGTCTAACGGTGTTTTGTGAACAAAAAAACGCCGAGTGATAACACAAAGAGGCCGCTCAAGTGGTCTGACCGGAAGACATCCAGAAATGTGGCAGCCTCATCTTCTGCAGATTGATTTTACATCTCTAGATAGTAGATTAGAAACCCCGCAAGGGTTACTTCCAGGGATTTACATACCCCAAACAAATAAATTGCTGGGATCTCTTTCCAGACTGTTTCTCCCGGAGGTGGGATGGGAGGCTGGGGGAGGACCCCCGATGGGCAGGTGGCTGGAGGGCTGCACCTATGCTCCTTAGTGCAGGAACTTTGCCAGGAGCAGGGATGAACAGGAGGTACTCAAAGTTCTTGGCACTTTATTTTGCACACAGCAGAAGTCATAGAAGAAAGTTGCTTTTTTATTATTAACACTGAGTGTAAGTTCAGGTAGTTTTTTTGTTGGGAGGTGGGGCAGGGGAAAAAGTGGGGGGAGAGAGAGAAGGAGAGAGAGAGAAAGAGAGAGAGGTTGGCTGCATTTGATCTGTGACGCTCCCGGGTGTGGGTTCCCAAGGCCAGGGAGCCTGAGTGCAGCCCCTGACTGATCAGTGCTCTGTGCAAATCTGTTATCTTTTCCAGGACTGGGAGAAGAGAGTCTTAGCCTTGCCCACAACCAGATGAGTGATCAGTTCAAGTGTTGAACACTCTGCTTTTCAAATAGTGTGGTGGGCTGGTGGCTTTTGCCACTGCCTTTAAAAAAAAAAAAAAAAAAAAAAACGGGGGGCGCCTGGGTGGCTCAGTCGGTTGAGCGGCCGACTTTGGCTCAGGTCATGATCTTGCGGTCCGTGAGTTTGAGCCCCGCGTTAGGCTCTGTGCTGACAGCTCGGAGCCTGGAGCCTGTTTCAGATTCTGTGTCTCCCTCTCTCTGACCCTCCCCTGTTCATGCTCTGTCTCTCTCTATCTCAAAAATAAATAAACGTTAAAAAAAAAAGTTTTTTAATGTTTATTTATTTTTGAGAGACAGAGTGCAAGTGGGGAAAGGGCAGACAGAGGGGGAGACACAGAATCCCAAGCAGGCTCCAGGCTCTGAGCTGTCAGCACAGGGCCCAGATGAGGGGCTCAAACTCATGAACCGTGAGATCATGACCTGAGCCAAAGTCGGAAGCTCTACTGACTGAGCCACCCAGGGGCCCCAGCTTTTGCTACTGTCTTAAGCCTGAGCACAGCTACAGCTCCATCCAATGTTTTCAGCAACAAAATGTACATGTGTATGCACATATGTGTATGCATGCCTAAATATATACACACACAGGGGAGCCCTGCTAAGACACACAAATTGAAAAACTTACTTCTAGTGGTCCATAGAGCACCTCTGATGGTGACAAAAGAACATTCTCAACCTCGGGCTGCAGGCTGAGACATGAAAAAGTGGCCTCTAGTGTCATCGCAGGCCTGCTGGCGTGAGCGGGTGGCACTTGATTCTGGCGGGAGGGAGATGGCCAGTCATTCGAGTTTGGAAACCTCGTCTGCAATACCTGGGGCATTCCTGGTGCTGGGGTTGATGGCTCGGCTCATATGTGCTCATGTTCTAGAATCCAAAACCCCAGGACCTTCCCGGACAAACCCGCACATCTGGAGGCAGCAGACTGAAGGAGTATGTTTGGTGCTGTCAGCCTGACCCAGGGCCCCTCTCACACCCGGCCTCTGCATTCCTCTTCTTCCCCTCACACGGGCTCTCTTAAGAGTTCTGGTTTAGGGGCGCCTGGGTGGCTCAGCCGGTTAAGCGGCCGACTTCGGCTCAGGTCATGATCTCAAGGTTTGTGAGTTTGAGCCCCGCGTCGGGCTCTGTGCTGACAGCTCGGAGCCTGGAGCCTGTTTCGGATTCTGTGTCTCCCTCTCTCTGACCCTCCCCCGTTCATGCTCTGTCTCTCTCTGTCTCAAAAATAAACGTTAAAAAAAAAATTAAAAAAAAAGAGCTCTGGTATAAAACAGAGCTTCCCTGAGAACTTCCGATTTCTGGGTACAACACAGCTTCCCAGAGCCCTGTTTCACAGAGTTGGAGCTTCCTGTCGCCGCGGTGAACTCCCACGGATCCTGCCCTCCCGCCCCGCAGTGAGATCATGGTGAGGACACCCAAAGGCACCACGTGGGAAAGGTACCTGCCAACGACCTGCTTTCCTAGGAGACTATCTGCCGGTGGGGCAGAAGGTCCTGGAAGTCTGCAAGCCCTCTGTGGTTGATCGCACACTTATGTGAGGTGCTACTGGCCTTGCTGGACTGTCAGCCAAACGTGGAGGGTTGACCGCCAGACCCCTGTGTCTCCTTCTGGCCACTCATTCTCCAAGTGAGGCTCTCTCGAGCACCCCCGCTAACCTGCTCTAAACCTTGGTGTAAAACTCCCGAGTCTAAGAAATGCTTATCTTGTCACAGATCCTAAAGGTAGCCGGGAACTGGCGTTAACTCTGTGAGATGCCTGCCTCTATAACTCAGGAGCATTGGTTATGTGTTTTGGCTCGAGAAATCTAAAGACTCTTCATGTCCAGGGGCCTCTCCTAGTGACACATTTTTAGCTCTTTTTGCTGTAAACAAACAAGGCCACCTGCTGCCAAACGGCTCCACTGCTGTCACCACTGTCAACACAGGGGTCAGCCAGGCTTGCTCTGACCTGGCAGAGGCATCCCGAGCTTTCTCTACCTGCGGGGGTTACGGCACAGGCCTCACCGAATCCCTACCCCTTTCTTCATTCTCCGTGTTCTTTCCCTTCAGGAATCCTGAACAGTGGGCAGAGCTCCCACTTGGGAAGAAGCTTGCTGGAGTTTGGGAGGGGGGGGCGAATGGTGCTGTGCCCTGCATTGGGCCACAACAGGAACTGCCCCACTGGCTTTTTTAGACACATAAAGGTCATAGATGTTTTGCTAGACAGGCAAGGGCAAAAATCACCCTCCTGCCAGCCGGGAGTGCTGGGAGCCCAGCTCATTTTAGCGCCTGGCTGCTCTTCTCTCATTAAGAAAGCTCAGTTATAGACCTTTCTGTCCTTCAGAAGCTTGGAAAGGACCCCTATTCTCTTGGTTGCACTTTTTTCTTTCTCAGATTCTGACCCTCTCCATAGCTCTTCCTTGTCTGGGTTATGGGAAAATATTTATATGCATATATAATATATATTATATATTATGATTGTATATTATATGCATGTATTATAAATATAATACATATATTATATATATATATATCTCCAGCATTTTCCCCACGTGGGTTGTCAATAGTGGCCTCACTGAGGATAAATCACGAAGCGTCTGGAAAACATTGGGTCAAGTGTTCCCATGTGTCTGGTTATTGGCAGACTCCCTACCCCCACCTCAGGAGGCCTTGTGCTTTAACTTCTTTCTTCTGCAGTGTCCCGGGTGACACTGACACGGCGATACGCATAAAAGGGCGTGACTAGGGGCGCCTGGGTGGCGCAGTCGGATAAGCGTCCGACTTCGGCCAGGTCACGATCTCGCGGTCCGTGAGTTCGAGCCCCGCGTCAGGCTCTGGGCTGATGGCTCGGAGCCTGGAGCCTGTTTCCGATTCTGTGTCTCCCTCTCTCTCTGCTCCTCCCCCGTTCATGCTCTGTCTCTCTCTGTCCCCAAAATAAATAAACGTTGAAAAAAAAATTAAAAAAAATAAAAGGGCGTGACCAAGTAGAGGTTGATTTAACATTTATTTGCTGCTGTTCTTTACTTTGAATGAGGTTGAGCTATGGATTTCAAGTGTAAAGGCTCTTCAGGAAGCAGCCACAATTCATCCCTGGAACGGAATTCCCTTAAAACCAGGTGACGTTTGCGAGCCTAGCTCTTTGCTCCAAAAGCTTCCACCGGAGCTGGAAAAAGATGGAAGCCACTTTCCAGGTCAAGGTCGCGTGGAAAGTCCTTCCTGCCCGTGCCGGCTTCCTCTGGCCCATCCATTCCGGCCGCTTTGCTCCTCAACAGAATCCAACTGAAGTTCCCTGCCGAGTAGGTCTCCAGAAGCCCTCCTGCCAGCCTGTTTCTTCTCTTTAATGGCTAGAAACATTCAGCTCAGAGGAAGAAAAGAATTAGTCTGGCAGGCCCTGCCTTTGAAGGTACCTGCTGACACTGACAGGCCAGGCCAGTGAATTCAGTGGCCGCCGAACGTGCCATTGGAATCAAGAGCCCCACACTGTGGATGCGGCCACACACAGCACGGCTCACCAGGCCAAGGCTGGGCCGCAGTTGCGGTAAAGCCCATGATGTGGGCTGCACGCACGTTCGTTGCGGAAGGACTGGTTGCCAGCAGAAAGGATGAGTCAGTCGAAAGAGGGTAAATGCAACTTTCCCCGCCAGGTGTTTTGTCTCCTCCCACTTGGCTTTCCTCTGATGACAACCTGCCATACAAAGCCATACCTGTGCTTAACAGATGGATAAAACTTCTTCAGACTTCCAGAACCACAGAGGCTGGGGAAAATACACTGAATCCATAGCCATGAGGACCAGCTCTGGAGTCTATGGACCCTGGAATGGGGCCGCCCCAATCTAGAGTTTTGGCCTCTGTGTCACACGGAGGGGCGTTAGGTGACCGGAGCAGGGTGTCTGGCCATCTCCAGGTGGGAGGGGCCCCTGGGGCAGTACCACCGAGGAGACCACTGAGAGACCCAGAAGGGGACAGGGACCCCTTACATCAAAACAGGATGAAATCAGGTTGTCATCCCTTAAAAACCTCACGTGGTTGCTTTTCTGCCCCCTGCTTCAGGATATGGGGTGTGATGGCCAAACTGTGGCTCTGGCGACACAAGCCATGGACTCATCTTCATCGTCCCAGCCAGGACATGTTCAGAGGAAGCCAAGGAAAGTCACTTCTCCGCTTTGCTTTTGACTGGTCTTTTCTGGGGTCCCGGGGTCTTCTTTCCTGTCCTTCCAAGGGGAGACCGGGTGCTCTCAGCACTGCTCAGCCTCCACGAAGCCCTCCTTCTCGTGGCCCGAGGGCTCGACCTCCGTGTAGGTGGCGTGGTTGGGGTGGTTGCGGAATTTCACAGCTGGCCAGTGGTGAGGTCTCCGCTGTCGGGGGCACAGACGCAGAGTCAGCGGGCACGGCCTCACCCACCTGGGACTCCTCCACACCCCCGAGGACAGTGCTGAGCACCGAGACTCTCTTTACAAGGGTGCTGGGGGCCTACTGTGAGCCAGGTGGAGTTCAGGGCCCTCCTCCCCAGAAGCCTCCCCACTGTGATCCATCAACTGCTGGGAACCTTCCTGGGAGCCTGAGGAGTTTGAGAGGAGGTCATTTCACCGCTCGTGGCATTGACTGCAGGACCGTAAGAGCCTGAGCAACGTACTGCATGGAGCCCTGAGACTCCAGTGAGGCAGTAGGTGAGAGATGGAATGATCTGGGAGGTTCTGAAGAAGCCACGGCAGGACAGGTCCTGCAGCAGAGTCAGCTGGGGAGTTTGTAAACATGCAGATTCCTGGACCTACTTCAGACCTACTCCGTCAACATCCCTGGGGCTGGGTGATACTTAGGACTGGTTAGGGCTTACAAGAAACAGGGGCTTCTAAACAAAGGGGAAAGCCCCTCGCAAGCACCACCTGCGCCTCTGATTGATGAGGTCAATGGGCCTGTGACCTTTGTGGGGAAGACTGTGGGCACAGAGGCAGCACTAATGGACCACAGGCAGAGCTGGGAGGGACTGAGAGCGGAGGACAGGGGAGGGAGCTGCTGAGCCCCAGTGGCCCAGAGAGAAGAGGGCTGGCTTTTACTTCCCAAGCTGCACTTTGAGCTGCTTCTTCAGAATTCTGAGACATTCCAAATCATAGCATCCTCAACGAAAGCTCCCAGAGACAGCAACTCTTGGGATTATCATGCCTTGTCAATTCTAACCTAAAAACCCCCAGAGCAGGCAAAGAGGCAGAGATCCCGGTTCCATTATGGCTTTGAATAAACACCAGGCTTGGAATATGGGGGTGAGAGACCACAAATCATTAAGGAGGGGCTGCACAATCCCTAGTGATTTCTCCTTCTTTCCTCTGGAGGCTGTTCTGATTTCACAAATGGGGGAGCAAAGGCAGACGGGCTGTTCAACAGGACAGGAGGGGTGCCGCACTCCCGGGGGAGCCCTCGGGGTTAGGGACTAAAGGGGCACCAGCCAGTGCACAGTGTGCAGGATGGAGTCAATGAAGTCTCCTCAGATAGGAAGAGGAGTCGGACATGTGGGTGCTCACACCCACACGTGAGGTGGGGAGAGGCAGGTACCCAGTGGCTGGGGAAATGCTGATGCAGAGGCAGACAGACAGCAGAGCTGTGGCCAAATTCAACACTGACCTCGATGAAGAAAAGCGCAGCGTTGGAGGTGGGGTGGCCGTTGATGTAAATCCCAGCCAGGATGATGGCTGCTACCAGGAGGACGGCCAGCACGATGCCCACGATGGTGCCCAGGTGCACGGGGGGGCCCTTTGTCTTGGGGGACAGGTTGTTCTGAAGGCCTGTGGAGAGACCATTTAGGGTAGGGAGTGGCCACAGGGGAGCAGGGAAGGTGGGGCCATGAAGCCCCAGGTTCTGACAAAATCTCAGAGGTGAAATCTAGAAGAACCTCAGGGTCTGCTTATGAAATATGTAAAAAGGTGGGGAAGGAGTGGGTGGAGTCATGAGCATAGCATTTATGTTGCCCTTGGCATGGTTCAGGTGGTTTTCCAAAATCACTTCAAAGTTGCCCAAATTCCTAAAACGGATCGCAAGAGAAGTTTTTTCCAATACTCGCGCCACAAGTGCCTTTAAGGAATCCTCAAAGGGTATGAGATGGTGAGGAGTTTCGGATCTGGAGTATGGCGGCATGTTCAAATCCAGGGTGTGCTGACTTACTAGCTGCATGACTTTGGGCAAATTATGTAACCTCTCTGTGTCTCACTTATCACTTCTGTAGAGAAGGATAATAATGACTACCTAATAGAGTTATTGTAAGGGTCAAAACTAGATAATTCACGTCAACTGCTGAGGACCAGGGCTGGTATCTTGGATGACCTCAGTGTTAGCCATTATGATAACAAAATGACCATATTTTCACTTATCACTGTCCACTACCAGACTGTGGCCTCCTGGAGGGCAAGGACGGTGTCTTATTCACCTCTGTGTCCTTAGCTCTTAGGAAAAATGGCGGGCCCCATGGTAGGAGCTCAGTAAAAGAATGAATCAGGTCCTCTGAAGGCTCATATACCAGTAGGCAATCTCTGAGAACACCCTGAGCATTTGAGATACATCCCAAGGAGGAGACTGAGTATTGCCGTAGACTATCAAGCTGGAATGTCATCTAGTCCAACCCCTTTCTTGTACGGCTGGGATAATGGAAATACAGAGAAGGAAAGTGATTTGCTCAAGGACACAGTCACGCCGACCACTAAGGAGCCCATGTTCCCTTATTGCCTGCGGTGGCTATTTGTTTCTGCTCCCTACCTTAAAGGGATGTGGAGAGAATGAAGTAGAAAAAGACAGATGAGCACATAAGCAAAAGAAATCATTTTTCTTTTTTAAAGTAGGCTCCATGCCCATTGTGGAGTCCAACACAGGGCTCGAATTCACGACCCTGAGATCAAGACCTGACCTGAGATCAAGGGTTAGATGCTTAACCGACTAAGCCACCCAGGCGCCCCTCAAATCCTTTTCACAGAGCTAGTGGGTGGAATGAGAATCAACAGGAGGTGGGGATTTTTAATGGGATGTTGCATATATTCCAATCCTCGTCCTCCCCAACCCCTTTTCTCTGTAAGCAGAGGAAGCCCAAGTAGGGAAATTGTCCCCGGGGCACTCCGATGCATGGTTAGTGCCACTATCTGCCAACGGGTGGGACAGTTGAGGTGACACACCCCAAGCTAGCTTCCCCTGACCTGGCAGTCAGCCCGCAGCCCAAAGTGACCCTGGTGATCTGATGGTCAGGGTTTGGGGCTGATGAGCGTGTGGTGCAGAGCAAGGGGAATGTGGCCCAGCCCCCGCCCCAGACACACAACACACACTCAAACCAGCTGCCCGCAGAGCAGTAATGGCTTCACCTCTGGTGGGAGACTGGATCAAACCATGCTGCATCAACAGCCTCTCCTCTCCTGCGGGAACCCAGGACAACAATCTCCCAGTCCCTAGAGCTGGAAGGTATTTTCATCTCCCCCGTGCAGTGGTTGCAGCAAGGGCCAGAGCTGGCTCTGGGCAAAGGGCAGGGGAGGTGGGCCGCATCACATCACATCACCGGAGAGCTTATCCTCCCAGGTAATCTTGGGAGCAAAGGACCCCAACTTCCGGCGCCTACAAAAATTGGGGTGGACAACTTTTGTGTACTCTCTGCCAACCCAGGCTGGGAATCAAAGGAAACCTGATGTGGGAAAAGCTACTCTCCACCCCTCATGGACCATGAGGCCGGTGGGGACATGAGGCCAATGGTGAGGGGCCCCGTGCTGCCGTGCCTGCTCTAGCTCAGCCTTTCTCTCCTCTCGCTGCTTTCAGGGCAGTGAGGATTCAAGACAGATCTACAGGTGGTTCCTGGCTGATGACAAGTGTCTAGACACATTCCTTCCATCTAGTGGGCCCCTGCCCAGGAGCCCAGCAGGAGGTCTGGGAAGCTCAGGCTGCCGTTGCTCCCTTCCTCCCCACCTTAGAACAGAACGGAAGCAAAGAGGCCAGGTGACCGATGCACCCTCTTCTGGGGGGTAGCGGGGGTAAGGGGTGGTCCAAGGGGCAGGGCAGGCAGCTCAGTACTCACCATCTCCTCCTGCATAGGGGTTCAACTTGGTGTCGTCTTTAAAGAGGAGAGAAGGCATAAGATTAGTGGAATCACTTAGGTCCAGATGGGACTTTAAGGAGGTTTAGTCCCACCCTCAATTTAATTTTTTTTTTAATTTTATTTTTAAGTCATCTCTGCACCCAAGGTGGGGCTCAAACCCACAACCCTGAGATGAAGAGTCGCATGCTCTACTGACTGAGCCAGCCAGGCGCCCCTCCGCCTTCATTTTAGAGGCAGAGAAACTGAAGCACAGAGCGGGGAGGTGACTTGCTTAAAGTCACACAGCAGTATAATGACAGAAGTCCGCAAACAAACCAACTTTTCCTAGTCTTGTGTCCATTCATCCAAGCAGGATTTATTGGACGCCTACTACTGAGTTGAGCACTGGGAGAGGGTACTGGGGGTAGACACGGTCTCTGCCCTCAGGGAGTTAACAAGCAGGAGAGATGGAGTGACAATTAAAACCCAGCAAAATGGAGCTCTGACTGGGGGCCTCATCCAGACAAAGGGTGTCAAGACGGAGGGGTGAGATGTGGGGCTGGGGAAAAAGGGTTCCAGGCAGAGGAAAAAGCACGAGCAAAGGCCCAGAGTCAGAGAAATAAAAGGCAGTGCAGTGCCGCTGGAGGGTGGAGAGGGTAAGAGATAAGGCTGGGGGTGGGGGATGGCTGCCTGCCAAGCCTGGGTGAGGACTTTTCCTGTTCTCCTTCCCCTACGGGCCCCTGGGAAGCTGAGGAAAGGGTGTGTCACCAGTTCAGATCTGCTGGAAGACCACCCCCTCCCCACGCACAACTCGAAGGGCAGATTTCATGCCAACACCCTTTCTACAGCGCCAGGCGTGTGTCCTGTGGTTTCCTACATAAGTTCCGATGGTTGGCCATTCTTCCCCAAAGATTCTCCGGGGAAAGGCAAGCAAGAGTTCCATGTCAGGAGAATGCTCTAGAGGACAGAGGGTTACTGCTTGAAGCACCGAAACGTGAAACAAATTGAACAACCCGGGTGTGTCGCCTATAAGGTACATTTCATTCCTCTTTCCCTCCTGCACCTCCATTGCCCATGTCATTTTAAAGACTTTTACGGGTGGGGGGCTTCTGGGGGGCTCTGTGGGTGAAGCATCTGACTCTTAATTTTGGCTCAGGTCATGATCTTGAGGTTGGTGAGTTCGAGCCCTGCATCAGGCTCTGTGCTGACAGTGTGGAGCCTGCTTGGGATTCTCTCTCTCCCTCTCCCTCTGCCCCTCCCCTGCTCTCACTCTGTCTCTTTCTGAAAATAAATAAACTTAAAAACATAAAATAAAATAACATAAAATAAAATAAAATAAAAGTTTTTACTGATTCCCCTTTGCTCACAGATGTTCAAGGCTCTTCACAATCTGTCCCCTCTCTTCTTTCCACTTGTCCTTCACCACAACTCAACACCACGGCAGTGGCCATAACAAGCTGCCCAAGACTCCCGAGACCTTGGAGACCTCTCAGACCTCTGTGTCACTGCATAAACTGTTCCTCCTGCAGGGAATAGACTTCCTCCCCTTCACTATTCCTCTTTGAAAAGTCCCACCCCTGAAATGCCGTCTGTAGGCCTGGGATTAGCTCACACAGTGAAGCAGGGTCCCATTCTGTCTTTTTGTGAAGTTTTGATGTGTTGTTCATTGTGGAATTTTTGGCATCAATTTTGTTGTTGTTTTTTAATTTTTAAATTTTTATTAAAAATATTTATTTAATGTTTATTTTTGAGAGAGAGAGAGAAAGAGAGACAGAGTGTGAATGGGGGAGGGGCAGAGAGAGAAGGAGACACAGAATCTGAAGCAGGCTCCAGGCTCTGAGCTATTAGCAAAGATCCTGACGCGGGGCTCGAACTCATGAACCGTGAGATCATGACCTGAGCCAAAGTTGGACGCTTAACCGACTGAACCACCCAAACTCCCCTATTTTTGTTTTTATAAATATTGCATTAAAATATTATTTATATTGATTATTGCTTTCTTTTTGGTGACTCCTTGAATTTTATACATGAGTGGAGAGCCTCATTTGCCTCACCCCAATCCTGGCCCTGTCACTTCCAGAGGACAGGTGGGTGTGTCCTCCTCTGTGTCTTACTGCATTTTGGTATCTGTTTCTACATCTCAGGTCCCAGTTTTTCCCTGGACTGCAAATCCCTCCACATGCAGCATATTTACACTCCCAGTGCCTGGATGTGGCTTCCTGCTGTGCTATGCGTTTCCAATAAATCTTGAAATCTCAAAAAAAAATCACATTGATCTTAAAAATTCTTGTTGTGGAATCATTTTCTGGCGAAATCCCTTTGTCAAGCAAAATTTTTGGCCTCATGGGAGCTGAAGTCAGACAAGTTTTTGATGAAGTTAACAGGACTTTGGTGAGCTTGTATTTCTACTTTATATCCTGAAAGATAGTTAAAAAAAAAAAAAAAACTCCCAAAGAAAATCACTCCGGTCTGAAAACTCATCTTTGGGGGGAAGAGTTAAGTGTCCCAGGTTATAACAGCTGATGAGGTCAGAGGGAGCTGGCCTGGCAACTAGACCCTGCCCCTCCACAGCGGACGGCTTCCAGCAGAAGTGAGTCTAAATTCTCCAGTAGACGATACTGATACCAGGGAGGACAAGGGAGTGGGTAGGGTTGGGGTATTAAGATACAGGCTACTGCATTTTATCCAATGGTGGTGGGAGAGGGGTACCTGGAGAAAACAAAGTCAATCTTTTCCTTTTTTGAAACGAAGCTAAAACATGAAGAAATGTATTTTTTGTTCAATAAACACGGGATAGAATTCCAACATCCCTAGCCACAGGGCCAGTTCCACTGAGAAGTGAACAGTGGGGGCTTCAAATTTTGCAAGCATTTGGGGAGAGGGGAGAATTGGCTTTCTGTTAATTGGCAAATGTTCCAAAGAGTCTCTGTGTTCGTTGGGAGGTGCTGTTATATATACACATGTATGGACCAGAGTCTCTGATGAGTTTATAAGGTTCAGAAGAGATGGTTGATAAAATCTTGCGTTTTGCTAATTCATACCAGTACAAGCCCAGTAGAACTCAAAAAAAAAAAAAAAAAAAAAGCACACTGGATAATGGGGGAATAAACTATAGATCATTAAAAAAAAAATTTTCCCCCTATAGGGAAAAGAGGACTGGGTTGAGGGGAGAAAACTAGAAAGTAAAATTATTTGAATATACCTGATTTTCTAGATTTGACTTTGGAACCATGTAAATCATCATTTAATTATGAGATAATTACAAAAATTAAATTTACAAAGCACCCCTAAAAAGTGAAAGTAAAACAAAACAAATAGAAAATTGTAGACCTATAATAGATGTTTTCTTCAGAGATTTCAATAAACAAGGGATTTTAAAAAATATCTTTTATAGTTCATTTTTTTATTTTGAGAGAGAGTCAGCATGAGTGGGGGGAGGGGCAGAGAGAGAGGGAGAGAGAGAGAATCCCAAGCAGGGTCCACTTTGTCAGCATGGAGCCCGATATGGGTCTCGAACACAAAACCATAAGATCATGACCTGAGCCAAAGTCAGAGACCTAACTGACTGAGCCACCCAGGCACCCCAACAAGGGATTTGAAAACAACACTGAGTCTATTTTGTTACCGCAAGTGGAAAACAATGAATTGGCTAGTCGAACCAACCAACATCGCCCTAAACATCATTGGGGAAATTAACCTGATTCAAATCAGTTTGTTTCTAATCTAAACCACTGAAAATCCACTATAGCCCCATCCACATCTACCACTGGCAGACAAAAAAGACCCAGTGCTACCTACAGCCCGTCCCTCCCATAGTGACTGCAGGTGGCCACGCTGTGCCCACAAACAGCTTTTCTCCCACTCACCAAGGGCTGGTTCCCGGCTGCCATCT